TTGGAAGCATTTCAAAACTAACCACAAACTACCGATTGAACTGACGATTACAAGACTTTTGAAATATATACAGATATAATGCAAAACTAGTTTCGCAAGTCAGATATATAGAAAGAGAATGTAAAATAAGATAAGCAGGAATTAAGCCTTACAGTCTGGTTTAAGCTTACTGGGCAGTGCGTGATCTAGTTTCTTAAATTCCTTTTGACAGCAAATTATGTTTACTTTTTCCGCTATATTTTGTATAGGATTATAAGTCTTTCATCATATCGTAAGATGTTCCTCCACAATAGCGTTACACCTGGTTCAAGTACTCATTAGTCATTTAACCGTAATTTGTATAAGGCTAAATGTTGAATGTTGGTAGTTAATATAAATGAATGATATGATCAAATTTTCAACATAATAACAACAAATAAACTATCATTAATAATAGAATAATGATACATGTTTGTGATATTCCAGTATTTAGAAAAGTGAATTTCTGACGTTTCATAGAGGAACTATTATGAGTGATTGAACTTACATACATGTATGTGTATATAACTTGTTGAAGATGTTAAAATATACAAACTGCTCATTCATCTTTTTTTCTATAAGAGAATGTGTGACAATTTTCTAGCTGTTTTTTTCACAAGGTTTATGTATCTAAACTCATTGTTCTTCTTCTTCTTCTTCTTCTATTAATGTTTGTTTTCTTATGTTCTTTGGCATGATACAATTAACATGATAGCAGATATGATATACAGCATTTCAGTAATGGTTCGATAAACAATACAAATCACTAATCTTATAAACCATGCCTAGAAAAACAATTCACTATTCATCGAAAAAAAAAAGTAATTGTATACTATTAAGTGCATAGTAACACCACTAATTACAATAATTATTGATTTATGATTATTATTATTAATATTATTATATTCACAATAATAAACTTTCTTTTGAGAAGTTTCTTTCTTTTTTAAATAAACTGACAGCTAAATTTTTTTTTAAATGAACTTCTTCTTTTAATTTCTTTTTTCTCTTTTAAAATTAGAACAGTTTAACATTTGGTAATTCAGAGAAGAAAAATAAAGTAAAGAAAGAATTTATATTATCGTTTTCTTTCTAAGTGCTTAAACGAGGTCACTAATCTTTTGAAGAAATTAGAAAACTAAGTTTATTTTAATACGATTTATTGAAGTACAGTATTAACTGTTAGAAAAAAATTGTAACTATATATAAGAATAGATTAATGGAAAATATGATTCCTTGATTGTAATAGTTTCATATATGTTTGATCCAGTATATTATTCACGGGATCAAATATTTCAACAAACTTAAAATGATACTGATTCAATAGGATTGAAGAAAATGGGATCAACTCAAAAATACCTGACTTATATGTACATTCTAGCCTTTTAATTACTTTAGTCTACAACAGGGTAGTTGGATTCTCTACATATATATATTGTAGTGAACAGAAAACCGGTTGGGGACAATCGTATGTATTTAGACACAAATTACAGACTATTTCACTAAATTCTGATAACCATACAGCAAACAGTTAATTTACATAATAACAATCAATTGTCTCAATATTCAGTGTTTCTTCTATAGATATCAATTCATCTTCTTTAATTCCATTGTTTATGCATTTTCCTACAATTGCGCTTCATTTCAGTTCTTTCCTTATCGGTTTTCTGCCAAAATACATTCTATGTCTGACCATCACCATATACTACTTATGTGGACATAAGTAGCCAACACCACAATATTACTCCCACTTTCTCTTACGATTTTATATCCTTTTAATGACATTTTCTTCTTGTCATTAATTATACACTTATCTTTCTTATCTCACATAGTGTACTTATTAAGAATTATTGTTATTGTCAGTATTATCGTCACGTCAACTACAACATAACAATTGCTGTTTTGTATAAATTTAATTTTTGTACGTGTGATTTTAATCAGAACTTACCACTTTAAGCTGTACATTTTTTCTTACCCTTTGTATATGACCTTTACTTAACGTTAGCATTGGGGCAATTTCGTTTTGTCAGTACTTCGTATTATTCAAGGCTCAGTTGTAGCCACATTTGTTATTTTCAATTAAACATGGATTAACTATACCTTAATATTCTGTCTATTTTAATACAATAATAATTTTGGTCTTACAACTGTAGATTCTGATAAAGGAATTAGCGAGGACGATAGTTCATTCCGAATATTTTATGGGGACTTTTAAATATTAAAAGTATATAAAATAAAAATACCGCCATAACAAAGGATAACGGGTATACTTATTCAGGAGCAAATATTTCTGGTCAGGTCAAGTCTTACAGCTCTTTTTTCTCATAGTTCAAGACTAGGCGTTGTCGAGAGTCTCTATTTTCCTTTGCAGGGATACTGCCTAATGTACCTGCGTTTCGTTCAATCAAAAAATATACAAGGGAACGAATATGGATGGGGTGAGTGTGTTACAAGTAGAACAACAAATGTTAGCGATTTTAATGATCATAAATGTTTATGTACAGTCATATTCAAATTACTGTCAAGAGACTCATCACTTACCCTAATGGTAGCATCGTATATTCTATGCAACACAATTTAATCTTTCCTGAAAAGTTCAGAAGAGACAGTAGGAAACACCAACAAACATATTGGTGACGACCCAACGATGATTTGTGAATAATACTAGAGTGAAAATTCCCATTTTGACATTTGTTAATTAAAAAAGGAACGAATCGAGCGAAGAAATTTCTTTTCAATTAGTTTTTCATCATGGACACAGGTCATCATGTTGAACTGAATAAAGCTTTTAAGGTTATCTACCATATTCCAACAAATTTGCCACATGGTTTACGAGCTCGTCTATTGCACATAGCTGAAGCCATCGCAATTCATATCTACAAACCGAACCTATGTATCCAAAAGAAGTTTGTACAACCACTCTCGCTACCTTGGCCATCGGTATAGCGGAGTTTGTAGCATAATTTTGGTAAACAATTATCTTATTCCTTCCATTTTTTGTATTTTGTATTTTATTTATTCTCTTCATTCGTCTCTTGATTCTTACATAATTACTATATTACTGACCATTCATCAAAATTTTTTAGTTCTTACTTCTCTTTTTTATATATTATGCAACGTAGCAACTGATTGATTTTCGAATAATAGCTTTGATTAGTATTAATCCTTCTCTTCCAATTAATGTTAGTTTATAATCGATGTCATTATATAATCATTACGTAACGTATCTACTCCATGAGTGTTATTTAATTATTGTAAATCATATATATATTAGTGTAGAGCAATGATGAAAAACTAATTGAAAAGAAATTTCTTCGCTCGATTCGTTCCTTTTTTAATAATACTAGAGTTTACAGATGGACATATGTTAAATAACCGAAAATAATTGATCTTTATGTTCTTGCTAGAACTGTTCTAATTATCATCATGATTACAGAATATCAAATTAATCTTATGCCATTATAGGTTAGCTTTGTGAGGAATTAACAAACAAAAATATATATTTACTAAGCGAACTCGTTTCAATTTAAAAAATGATCCCTAGTACTGTATATTTCGTTCTTAGGAAATTACGTCCTCCCTACCGTCTACTCTTTTTGTGACTAATTTACATCAATAAACAAGTTAAAAAAATTAGACTCAGCTGATCATTTGAAAGATGGGGTTGGATTAACAACTACGGTGGTTAGGTGATTCACTTACCATAGTAGAACGAATTTAGCAAATGATACCAAACACTATTTTAAGATCACTCAACGCAAATGATCGTGATGAATGATTTATAAAATATTTTTGTAAGCCATAGGTTTGAAATACCATATTTGGATTAAATTACTGTCAAGAGTATTATATTCATAGAATCAGTTGTAAACAAAATCCATAAAGACAGACAATAAAAACTGTTCCTTTTACTCAAATTTCATAAAAGGGCGAAGCAACCGTACAGTGCTTCCAGGTTTTCAATGGTGGTCTAATTTGAATAGATTGATAATTTCAATGAAATTTGACAATCTTCACAACTCAATATAGATAATCAGAATTTGTTTGATTATAGACATCACTATCAAGTATTCGTTGCTGGTTAAACTAAATAAATGAATTCCGGTCAAAACTTTACAAGTTTTCGGTGTTACGTTCTCTGAGCTGAGTAACATACTTTCAATGCTTTCGTTTTTTATTTGAATAATATCAGTAGTCTATATTTTGAGTCGAAATAAATTTAGAAATAATATCGATTGTGTTAAATTGGATCGTTCTATTTTATTTCTAGTTAGCTATCTTCATGAGACTTGCTACCTTCACGTTTTTGTGGGTTCTCATTGAGTGGTTTATTCTTTAGCATGTGGTTGATTGAAGTTTACTGTGTAAATTTATCAACTTAGCGTGTACTCATGTGTTTGTCAGTTCCTAATTAATATAGATCTCATGTTTCTAAAAATTATCCATCATTTTTAGAGTTTATTTGAACTAAAATTTTGTCATTTTCCCAGAAAGATTCTTGTGTGAGTTAGGATAAGTGATAACATGTCATGTGGTTTCATAGCTACTCTGTGTTATAGTACCTGTAGATGAATAAAACTTGTACTTTTTCCGATACAGTACTTTTCTCAGCTGGTAAAATCTATTTTTTAGATGTTGTTAGGTTTTTCTTTTTCCGTTATAGGGTCATTTTGTTTGTAGTTGCTTTGTCTTGTATAAGGGGTTTAAAACTTGTGGTAATTTCCGAAATACTTCCCACATATGATAAGATGATAATCATTAAATTTCAATGCTAGATAATAAAATCCAAGCATTATTGTAAAACTATTCTGTCTACTCAGAATCATTATCAAAATATTATAATGAATAGCTGGTTTTGTTGGATACAGAAACCTAATAGTTCTTAGCAAAAATACCGGTTTTGGAAACACAATCTAAATGTAGGCTTTGATAAAATTTTACGATAACCCAGATTAGTCACAACTGATTCATTAAAAACAAACTCAGGTTTATGTTGAATATATTAGAATAATCAGTGTTCATGTTCAGAAATATACACATTTAAGAAGTGAGTAAAGCTTATTATGTACCATAAGGGATCGTGGTTTGGAAAATTTTGTTAAGATGATAACAATAATAATAGTTATAGGTAAAAGTTAGTAATTTCGTCAATTCAAGAGTTATATCTTTGTCCAGATGGTGTACGCCATACACTACATGAATGGTTATTCATTTTAAATTGTAATGAACAGAATGGTTCATGAGAGTAACTCATCCAAAAAGAACCAGTCATTATAATCACATGCCATACATTACCATAACTTTCTTCTAAGAATTTCTTTAGCTCTGATGAAACTTTATCTAGATTCTTTCCATCATCTCCATATTGTTGTATCAATTTTTCAAATTTTTCAATGACTTTTGCTTGCTTCGTTTCCGACATTACTGATTTAATAATGCTAACATTGGTTTGTTTTACTGGTGTAACGTTATCCCATATTAAAGCTCTTTCAACTTTTTCTACACGCCTTTGTATAACAGAAAAAAAACAAGAAGTTGCAATGAATTTATAAACCTAAAATGAGCATTATTAAAAGTTTGAACAAATAAAACCAAGATTATTTACCTAATGTGTTATTATTAAGAAGATAGTCATTTTGAATGAATGTAATTTTAATGATGTTAGTTTCTAATGTAGAATGAGATCATTAAGATAGTTGTTAAAAGGCATAGCTTACTGAAAAAAAATGCTTCATTCGAGTTTGAGACCCTTTAGGTGTATGCATCTTTAATTCCATATTATACCTAATCCAGAATCTTTAGGTCTCATAACGGGTAAGATCTATCTAAACTTCCTAAATGGGATCCAACAGTCGTGATTTTTATCTTTAATCAGTTTTTGATATTGGCGAAATTGAATGAAAACCAGATAAATAATTGAACATAGTTGTCCAAAATAAAATTACGAATAAATGAGACTATGAAATCAAGTAGTTGTTGTAACAAGATTGGTACATAATGGAAACAATGAATAAATACATATTGAAGAATTTAAACCAGCAAATATTTGATTATTATGTAAACAAAAAGCAATTACATGTCGAAATAAGGTAATAAAACTGAGGAAGAGTGTTAGTTTTGATAATTGTTCTAGTATGCATAGATCAAGTTTCTTAAATATACTTAACAAATTTTTTTTAATATCCCAAGCAAGTGAGAGTGTGGACTATGTGGGATTGGACTAGAAATTAAAAAGAAAAACTAAAATAATTTGAAGCAACTAGATGTTTAACGATGGAACTGTTCGCTGATTTACATTCAATTCAAGCTAATCATTCTGGATGGTGTTTAGATATGCGTTTGGAAAAAATGTTGATTTTTCCACCGATATAACATGCTCAACAGCGGTAAGTAAATTTTTAGGCACGTAGTGAGGTAATACAAAAGCTTCAGTTTATCTTTGACGCATTCTTGGATCAAGTATCTGTTTTAATAATATGCTTAGCTCAATCGAATAAAGTTCTTCCTCAAGAATTCCAGTATTCAATTTCATATTGCCATTCCAGCCATATCCCCTATGAACTCAATGTTCATGAACAAAATCCAAGTCGAAATTAATAACCTTTAGATTACCGGCTTGGTGTTCCATTTATTAAACTGTCGAATAACTACTAACAAGATCCAAGTCTATTTTGAAATCTGAAAATATTTAAATATCAATCAATCAGGAATTTGTGGTACTATGATTAATCTATTAGTTATGATGTAAAGTGAATGAACCTAACCATATTTCATTACTGAGAGAAATATTTAAAAACTTTTTACTGGAATCCTTTTAAAATAGTGATTGTCTACTTCATAAACATTATTCTTTTTACTGATTTCATAATGAATTAAAGAAATATTTACAATTATATATAATTTACAAATAAATCACATAGTTTATAAGTAAATTATTAGATTGTTACGCAGTAAGGTTAGATATTCTACAACGAGTGATGCAAATAATCATGTAATCAGTTGACAAAGAAAAAGTGTTGATTGTAGTTATCGATAATTTGAAATTATGATTAGTTATATGGATAGAGAGATTTGTTAGATTAATTTAGATTAAGATTATTTACAATGTAAACTAATGAAGCTGTACAACGTGATTATGCTAACATTTAACTTTATATTGAAATATTTTCTACTTATGCTTTTAGATGGAATACATCCAGCGTTTATTTTTCTACTATCTTAATCATGAATCAGTTGAAAATAAAGTTTTTTTAGGGTTATTTTGACGATATTTGATCGTTACAAATTTAATAATACTTTTTTTCTGGTTAGCGTTTTCTTAGCAAGTTAGTTTTCTACGGGGTAGGGTCCCTAACCCTATGCCCAACCCTCTTCCTTTACCCGAGCTTGGGACCTGTAGTAACACCAGAAGGGCTCCAGGAGAAGAAAACATTTGATAGCGTAGACAGGACAATATTATGGAGGCTTCTTCGACACTACGGTGTGCCTGAGAAAATGGTCACTATCATATGGAATTCCTACGATGGATTTAACTGCAAAATCGTACATGGAGGACAGCTCACTGACTCGTTTGAAGTAAAGACTTGTGTAAAGCAAGGTTACTTACTCTCACCCTTTCTCTTTCCCCTGGTGATAGACTGGATCATGAAGACGTCAATATCTGGGGGGAAAGCATGGGATACAGTGGTCAGGTAGGATGCAGCTGGACGATCTAGAATCCGCAGATGATCTTGCTCTTCTACCGCACACGCAACAACAAATGCAAGAGAAAGCGACCAGTGTAACAGCAGCAGGTCTCAACATATACAGAGGGAAAAGCAAGACTCTCCGATACTACACAACATGTTTCAACCGAATTACACTTGACGGAGAAGATTCGGAGGATGTGAAAATCTCTACATATGTCGGCAGAATCATTGATGAACACTGTGGATCTGATGCAGATATGAAGACGCGGATCGGCAAAGCAATAGCAGCATATCTCCAACTGAAGAACACTTAAAACTCAAAACAAATGTCAACCAACACCAAAACCAGAATCTTCAATACAAATGTCAAGACAGTTCTGCTGTATGGGGTGGAAACTTGGAGAACTACGAAAGACATGATTCAGAAGATACAGGTGTTAATTAGCAGTTGTCTACGAAAAATCCTTCGGATCCGTTGGCCAAACATTATGAGCAACAGTCTACTGTGAGTGAGAACAAATCAGATTTCAGTGGAGGGAGAAATCAGGAAGGAGCGCTGGAAGTGGATGGGACACATATTGAGGAAATCACCCAACTGTATCACAAGGCAAGCCCTCACATGGAATCCTGAAAGCCAAAGAAGAAGAGAAAGACTAAAAGACACATTACACCGAGGAATGGAGATAGATATGAGAAGAATGAACAACAACTGGATGAAACTAGAAAGGAAGGCTGAGGACAGAGTGAGTTGGAGAATGCTGGTCGGCAGCCTATGCTCCATTGTGAGTAACAGACGTAAGTAAAAGTGAAGTGAGTAGAAAAATTAATAATATGGTTATAAAAATAGTTCATACATTTGTAAATCAAATGTATAACTAAATTTTACATTTTTTAACGGTTTTTTTAGTTCGCATCACTGACTTCTATTGGCTAAATACCCATCGAGAACCCCCACCAAAAAAGACACTGGAAAACTGGATCGCCCTATTATGGGACTCTTCAGAAGTGAATATCCACGATCCTACTTGGAATAACACGCATAATTTTCGGTTACTCTGAGAGAGATTTATATTTTGACTATTATGCCGACATTCAATGGTACAAATGTCTTACTTTGACTAACTCGTAATGTTGCGCAGTCTTACAAAGATTTAACCTGGAAGTTTTGATTATAACATAGAGGGTGTATCTATATATATCCACATTCGCTTAATTGGTATTGTTTGCAAGTGCATAATAATTAAGTCTTTATATTAAATGATTCATACAATGGATTTTAAATTAAATAACCAGTTAGTCAATTTCTGTTATATTCCTTATTTAGTACATATCTTTCTCCATGAACGTATCAGATGATTTTTTTAAAACTGACATACATTTAAGTTTTATTTTAACTTATACAAAAGAAGTGATTAAATGTGCTCTAATTGACTTATACACATAAAAAGAGAATTTTGTTTATTGTTTACATTATTTAAATGTGTTATATGAGTTTATACACTGAAGAATTGTTTCCAGTGTTTTAATTGTTTACGTTTTACGTGTTTTAAAGTATGACGATGATTTAATCACATTTGTTGGTCAACTAAATGACGTCAAAATTATAAGTAAGGACTGTTCTAGTATAATTGAATTATGGGATAATAAAACTGTGTCCTGTGTATAAAATTCATCAGAGACTGACCAGTTGCAGTCCTAACAAATCGATGGGAAGATTCAAACAAACAATACTAAGTTGAATAAAATTCATCTGTTAATTGTCAACAAGTATACTATATCTATGTAGAAAGCGTGTGTATAAAACATTTATCAGAAAAGTGATTTTTTATGCTCTTCAAACAGTGTGATCTAAATATTGATTGTTTGCTCAAGATTTTGATCTTTCTAAAAAAGTTCCCTATTTGACTTTATCTTTAACCATTTTAAAAGTGTTTAGGAATGTAAAACAACGTACTGCGGACATCGCTGAACCTACCGAACTACTTTATCTTTGAATATAAATAAAGCGAAAGCACTAATAATACCAAGAATTTATAAACACAAACAATAATGAATCAGTGCCAAAAAAGGATAAAAGAAGAAATACAATTCATAGTATATGAATCAGACTAACAAATCAATGACTTACATTTCATTTAGTTTAATACCAAATCCTCGACAAAATTCATCGAATGTGATTTTGTTATTTTTATCAGTATCACATCTTGACAACCATCTCTAGATAAACAATTTTATAAAAACAAATTTTCAATAAATTTTATTTTGTACATAAGATGAAGTAATTGAAACTGTCTTAGGCTGTGAGGAATGAAATAGGAAGTAAAATGTCTACATTTTATTTAAGGTATGAAATTTCGTTTTCACTTTTAACTAGTATTCAACTTTGTTCGACTAATTTATGGTTAAAACACTTAAATGTCAATTGGTTAATCACAGATTTGGAATTTATTTCATTTGGTCCGCAGTATCACTAACTCACACAGGTAAAATAATGAATCAAAGTCAAGTATGTGTTATTCTCTAAAAAGTCGATTAGATTGTTGTTTTCAATCGTTATTTCTTTCAATGTACCAAAGAATCGGTTGTCTGCACTAGTTAAAAATAGTTCTATGCTGCAAAACTACGACTAAAGTTCTTAAGTACATATACCAATACGCGACCATCATGTAAAAAAGATTACAGATCACAGCTGATGATTTTCCATATTCCAAAGATTCTTTTCATCTTACAGGTATGTTCAGGTCGTTTGAATATCATATTACATTTTTAAAATAATAATATACATTTGATGCAAGAAAGACCATGGGAATATGCTCGTGATTTGTGGTTTCATTGGTTTATTATAGATTAAAACTTTTTAATTAAAAGCGGAGATTCCCTGTGTCAAAAACACTCCGTTAAAAAACTGTTTGGTTTCTATAACTAATAAAAGATAGAAATAGTCATATCTTACAAGGTTTGATTAGCTGTTAAAGTGAAAGATTTGTGGAAATTGTTCAACTTGTAGTTAACAACAAGATCTGTTTTGGCCAAATAATCACCATTAATCAGAAAAAGTTGAACAGACGTTTTATCCAGTCAGAGCAACTTACGACTACAAGCCTGCTAGTGTTCAGATTCAAAAAATTTTGAACCTTGTGACGAGTGCTTTACTTTTAGACTATCAAGTTCACATCCAAATGACCATTTTTCCAATTTAAATCAATAACTGTGGTTAAGAATCTATTCATAAAGCACATTTCCCCATAAATATACTTGGTAGAAATGAAGAGCAATACGATGTACCTCCCCTGGTACAATGGTTTGAAAATGGTATTCTGATATCTGACAACAGCTACAAATAGTTTTCAAATATCAGAAAACAGTAGACGGTTGAAGGTGAAAAGTAATGATTGACCGATAACATCTAATACATTTCAGAGATTTAAAATCACTAACTGATCTTAGTTAAACAACTGTTAAAAACCTGGTAGGATATGATGACCGTTCCTTTCTAGTGAGGGATTTCTCATCAGTGTCCATCCCCGACAACGTAAATGAGGAGCAAATCCAAGGTCCCAGATCGCAGGCGCGAACATCTAAATTCCAGACCACTTGACTGAAATCAAACGCTGTTAATTTCTAACTTCAACCAATTCACGACATTGTTCAACCATCTTACATTTCCTGGAGTGAATAAATGTCGTAAGTTTCCAATGGTGTTCTTAATAAAATTAATTTGTAATTCAAAATCTGTGAAGGTTCTATAGTCTACACAAAACCCTCCAATGAAATATAATAATGGTTCATAAAACATCTATTACTATTGATAAAAGATTATATATTTATTTACATCTATCGAGCGATTAGTAACAAAGATCAAATGACATTCCAGTAGTTTATTACTAAGAGCTCTATCGTAATAAATTTTGAACAACTTTTGACACGTACGACTTTTATTGAATATAAATGACTGGCTAATCTTAAACTTGCATTTGGTATTTGCCAAAATATTTTCATCATCCAATTTAATGAAATCAATTTTATACAGTTTGGTAGAAAATAATCTCACAATGTTTGTTTATTAAAACGCCAAAAGCATATATACTATTCCAAAACGCCTTCATTGTGATATAATCATAATGCTTACCATCTAAACTGGTACAGGAGAGTAATATTTTATTAAGTAGCTTATATGTAAAGAGTTTAACATAAGATATCAAAATAATAAATCCTATTTTCATGGAGAATTGTGAAGTGAACTTGGAATATTTCCAATTGTTTTTTCAAGTAACAGTATTTTATGACTATCAAGGTTAAATTTAGTTGATTTTATGGCATTATCTTCTGAATTTCAATTAACAGTCATGTTATTTTGACCCTTGTATAGTTGTTTCGAGTATGGCTAAGACCTGTTAACATATTAGTTTCATAATAACATTATTTTTTGTCCTCAGAAAAAGTGTCTTAGTTCACCAATCTTTGTACCTTGCTTCAAATTGTTCTGAAACCACAAAACAGATCATTGGTTAACAATAATTTCTAAAATTTGTACAGAAACAATGTAAAAATGACCGAAACAACAATTACTTGGTTATTCCAATATTTAGATAACAATATTTCTTAATTAATGTCATAATGGGTGTATTCCGTCCATTTCAATAAATAGTTCAGCCAGTCTGCTACAACGTAGGACCAGGCACATATATGCATCGGTCTAAGTTGCCATACCTCATTAGCACAACAAGATGACACATCGACTTCATAGAAGTAGTTAATTTAACGGTGGTAACATATAAAAGAAAGATTGTGTATAAGGATATAGTACAGAAAGAAAGAAAGATATGAAGCAATTTTAATCTCACGGTTTAAGGGAAAACAGGGAGTGTATACACCTATGCAATTGTGATCGATTCTGAGCCATGTCACCTAGAGTCTCCAACCATTGGTTACAATAGTCACGCGGACCCCAACCAAGTAGTCTGCATCTACCAACATGGCTCAGACTGGATGTTGGTGACTTTAAGGACTGGTGCCACATCTTGGTTTGGCCGCCCCTAACTTTCTTCCAACCATCCCCTACACTAGTCAACATTGCGCGTCGTGGTAATCGTTGTTAAGGCATACGTAACACTTGACCCAACCATCTCAGTCGATGAAGATTCATGACTTCATCAACTGATTTACCATCATTCCCTAATAACCTGTGTCTAACCTCACTATTACTAACCCGGTGATCCCAGAAGATACGAGCAATATTTCTAAGACGTCTGTAGCCAAATACTAGTGACTTACGGGTGTCTTCTACTATTAATGGCCACGTTTCTCAGCCGTAAAGTAGAACAGAGCAAACTGTTGCGCAGCATACTCGTCCTTTAATTGATAGACGGATATCTTGCCTTCGCCATAGGTGACGTAAGTTGGTACAAACCAAACGAGCTTTTTGAATCCGTGCAGAGATTTTGTCAGACACCAACCAATTAGGACTGATCAGACTTCCAAGATAAGTGAAGTTGTCGACGCGTTCGACTACTTCACTCTCTATCCTTCAGGTGTTGACGGAGGCCAGTTCTGAAGCAACAACTTGCATTTAGAGGGAGAGAAACGCATCCCAAACATCCTGGCATTATTACTCAGTTCTAATAGAAGACTCTGCATTTTGCCAGCGTCTTCACCAAACAGGACTATGTCATCTGCGTATTTTAAGTCGTTAAGTGCACCTCCTAGTAAGAGCTCAGTGCCCAAAAATTCAGTCGACGAGAGCGTTGTTTCCAGCAATAGGTCAATGATGAAGTTAAATGAAAATGGAGATAGTGGATAATATATAGTTCAATTTGTGATAATCAAGTATGTGAATATAAAAGATCTATCTTTCATTTAAAATAAAATTAAATATGCTGGTTTAATTTTGACAAAGTAAAACATCTTTTGTTTTTTAAGGACAAAAATGCTACATAATTTTAAATAAATAAAGTAATAATTATGTTCAATAAACTCACATTTCTTAGTCATGAGTTTGTGATTAAAAAAATGAATCGTTCATTCAAATGATTTTGTTACCATGCTGTGTTTTATCACAATGGATTTGAGTACATTTATAAATAAATCAATTTTTTTCAATGTTTGTAATAGAATGTATGTAGCAAAGAAAATAGTTTCCAAAGTTGATCCTTATGAATAATTATCAGTGTTTTTTCTTAATACAATCTTACAGATAAGTAATAAAGTGGTTGGATAGAATAGAAATAAACTACATTTATAAATTTGAATTTGATTAGTTTGAAATAATAAATATAGAAAATTAGATATGTATTCAGATTTTATCACTAGGATAGTTTATAACTGTAATAGTTAATCTTTTAGATCATTATTTATGGATCGGTCAATTATGTACATAGATTCTTCCATTGTAGATTGTGTTGTGACTCAATTTGATGTCTCAAGTTAAAACTAAAGTTTTTTATAGTACGAATGTACCACTAAGCGATAAACTAAAATTCACTGTTCTTTGTTATTTACCCACACTTACCACAATTATTTGTCGGTAGGGACTAAGTAATGTCACGTTGCTTATTCTCAAGTTCTGATCAACTTCTAGCGACCAGGTTGCTATGTAGCAACTAGATTAAATGACCAGATGTCACAGTGAACATTGTTTGACGTTAAATAACTATAAGTAGTTGATATTGAATCCAGGGCCTACGTTTCTTGCTGAATTGGATGTATTAGTAGACGGTTCCTTAAATCTTAAGGTAAAGTGTTTTTTTGTGAGATCTGAACTTGAGTATGCCCGTGTTGGAGTTAGAGACTGTGCCGTATGGGCCTTAATATACATCCTGTAAGACTTATATGTTAATACTAAACAGTCAGTGAGTATAAACTTATATAACATTGTCCAGACTGTTATACTGATTGGATTTTATTGACCACGTGTTTCGCCGTGAGAACGAATCAATAAAAATACTGATCACTTTAAGTTTTCGATTTCTGCTCGGGATTTATTACATTAGAATCATCGCCATCATGTAGCTGACTTATGTGTTAGTGGCTTCTACTAGGATGTTTACTTTTGTGTATTCGTGAATACGTAGGTTTATAAATACATTCAATCTCATGTAGTTTATAAATGATTTTAAAGGAGTAGGATATATGTGAAACTATTTCAGCTTCATTATAAAAGAATAATTTTGTTTCGTTAAAGCAGTCATAGTAGCAAATAAGGATTATTCCATTCAAATTTAAGTCATATAAATGACTAATAGTCTAGATATTCTTTATGGAAACAAGAATAGAGTCTCAACTTGTTAAATTAATTTTTCACATATGAATTTTTCATAAGGAACGTCTCACTGTTATTCATAAATTATTAATTGGATGTTGGGTCCGTTAAATAATCGGAGAGTTAAGGTAATGAAGCTTTAAGTCTACTACAGTGGTAAAGACTGATTCAGTCTTTATCTTCTCCTAGACTTTAAATTTACATATGATTTTTTTCGATTTTTTTATTCCATAGTATAATGCTTTCTCTTCGAATAATTATTGTTGTTTAGTCTTCCCAACGATCACTTTAATTTTTTTTAGCTGTCCAAAAAGTCCCATACATTATTTAGAAACAAGGAGAGGTTTACAAATTTATTATTTTCAATAACTCTATCATTAAACTCCATACTCATAAATGAATATTTACCCTATTTCATCTTCTGAAGTAAGACTTACACGAATAGGTTGTAAGTGAATTGGATATTGTTATATATTGAAATAGTGAAGTTTTATATCGGTTACCACGTAAATGTATTCATAATATATCATGTGTAGATCCGAAAAGTCATTTGAGAAAGGATTAGGAAGAGTTGCCACGAGATATTAAATCAAAATTAATGTGAAATTATAATAACTCATATTCATATTTAGGTCTGTCTAATTCATTTATGTATGGACAAATTGTAATGTCCATTACAATATAGTACTTATGAAATTACACTTGTGGAATCTGATGGTTAAGCTATTAAAAACAATTATTCGTTGAAATATTTATTGGTTTATTACTTATTAATTCTATCGTCATGTTACTGATATGATGTAGAAACTTAATCTGATGATATTTGAAAAAAGGTCCTACATTGTTTATAATTAACTGATGGATGTGTTATCAAAAAAAGAGGACTACTTAGCATAAACAATGACTAGTTATGATATAATGCAGTCAATTTTAGTAATATATCTTTTCAGGTTTAAACAATTTCAAGAAAAATAAGCGAAATTGACTTTTCAGTAACCTCTAGTTTAAGTCATTCCATAGTTTTGTTAATTTATAATCTTTCTGGTTTTGTAAGAGATGAATAAATAATACAAGTTTGCATATCATTAAAATCCATTATGGAATTTAAAAATACGAAGTATTTTAAATAGAAACTGTCTGTTTAACAAATCAAAGAAGATAATCCTTGTGATTTGTTAATAAATTGACTAGAAAGAAAATTGACAATAACATTCAACTAATATTATATTTTAGATTTGTCCATTTATGTTCCTTAAAGAATGACAACCATATGATACTTTCAGTACAGTTAAGGATACAACAAATGGCAGACATTGTGAACATAGTCAGATGCTAAACAGTGTACTTTTTTTTAGTTGATATTTAAAGCTCATTCAAAGATGAAAAACTCAGTAAATACAGTTTTTCTTTACTGATTTATCTTAGCTGCTGATCAGTGAGACATTATGATATTAATTATAATCTAATCACTGAAATATAATTTTAGAAGTTCTATTAGTCAGCCTATATACTATTGTTGATGACAATGTTAAAACAGGGAATTTAAGTTTTTGGGAAAGCTATGATTATTTGAAGGTTAAAGATACAAAATGTTATTATCATATCTCAACATGTTATAACATCATTTCAGATCACCGTAAAATCTTATCAACATATTTTTCAAAATACTGCCAACAGTTGAACTGATATAATGATTTCATCGATTACTGTAGGTCAGAGTTGCCTTTCATGAGCAGCAGATTTAAATTCTAAATGGATTTTGCAAGATATTAAATATCACAGTTGATTTACAGTTACCATTTTCATAATCAGATATTCTACTGAACTAACTTAAACTTGCCTTCCCAACCAAGGATGCATGTTAAATTATTCGTGAGAAAAATCTTTAGCCTCAATCATGTTATTTTTCTGTGATTCTGTAATCAAACGTAAATGTAGTACAAGATCATCTACAAAATAGACTTCAAATAAATTAAATGGATGTTCAGACTTCAGGCAATTCATGATTCATCTACGACTTGTACTAGTGTCGGCATACTTGAACATCTGGGATGCCTGTACCTGACATGTAGATATTTCAACAATTTGTCTATTTTTGTTAGTTTTAATACATCATTATGTCTATCAATTGCACAACCTATTCAGGTGCGCTTCTGAAAAGCGTAGAACCTTTTCTTGTACAAGTTACAAAGGACCCTATCAGAGATATTGTAGTTGTTGGCAATATGCAGCGAAAAGAATACACATTATTTTGATATCGATTAACTGGACTGCTAACATCTAACTGGTGATCACTCAGTATTTATCATCAGTATCTTCCAAGAAGTATGAAACATAAACTTTTTGAAATACTTTGTGCTCATAATTCTATATTGTACCAAAAATATAATATTGAGTAAAGCTAATAATAATATTAATTCAATAACTGGTGTAATAACTAATCTATCGACTCGACAACCGATTTATTTTGAATTAGAACTATGTGCTTAAATCGACTACTATGCTATATCACTTAATTTAGTCCGATAACATTATATAGCTCCAGTGAACCAGAAAAGTTACATACATGTAGGTATCGTAATTCACATGAAAAACAATTTAAATCAATAACTCACATTAACCATTTCCATATCCAGTTTGTTTGCTTGACAATAATTGATAAGTTCTTGTTTATCAACAATTTCATTATTATCTTTATCCAATTCAAAGAATAATTCTATTAATTTTTCCATTTATTGTTAGTTCCTTTTTAAATTTTTTTTATGGTATTTACTAAAAAGGAACAATATGGAATTTGATAATAAATAGTTGTTTAGAAATATGAAAAGTTCAAATAAAAAGTAAGTTTACTTTTGAAATTCACTTCTTGTAAATACTAATAAATGGATAAGTAATATTATATGGTTGAGATCATGAGTCAATTGAAGCTAGACCATCATAGAAAACCTGGAAGCACTAGATGCCCGTTTCGTCCTATGAGGATTCTTACAATAGTACGAGTTGGCCGTCCAGTGCTTCCAGGTTTTCGATGGTGGTCTAGCTTCAATTGACTCATGATCTTAACTCTATAAAATTACTAAAATCTCCACCAAACCCCTTCTTATAAGTAATACACAATTATTTTTTTATAGTTTCAAACTGTTAACTATGCGTATTATCTCTACAGCACAACATTATAATCTATGAATCATTATAATGATTCACTTTAAACCATTGGATTTGTAATATACTAAATTTTATTTTTTTATATCTAATTGACTTACAATTGTACTATTTCCATCTTGGAAGTTATCAATATCTAAATGATCAAGAATTATATTCTTTAAAAATTTAACACACTATTCAATATTCTATTCAATCATTCAATAAAACAATATTAACTATTTTAAAAATGAAAAGTCTTTGAATGATACCAATTATTGATTAAATTATCAATTAGTTTTATTTAAATTTTAAATTGTTCAACTAAATTTTTTTTCAAAAAAAAACATTTTAAAACTGATCAATTAAATATCATGATTATTATTTTTATAAAAAAATTCAACTACACCATTACCTACCTGAAATGTTTGAATATAAATCATCAGTGAATGCTGTTTTCTCTTTTTTTTATTTTATTTAAATTTAAACAAAGGAAAGTTATTGTAAAAATCAATGACGACATTTTTATAAGTGCTTTCATTGTATACACACATACACATTATATATATATGTATGTACATATGTGTCGGTGTTCAATAGGGTGCACACATGCATACATACACTCATGATTCAGATTATACTCTGAAAATAAAATGAATATATGAATTGTATAGCTTTTTTTATTTTTCTGAATATAATAAATTTGAAGGTCAATATGCACTTATGCACACAGTTTACGTCACGTGGATACTTACAAATTGTTAAGAGAGTAATCAATTTATGTTAATGTGCTTAAATTGAGTGATTTAATAAATGATTAGGCAGTTAATAAATTCGTTGCCAGATTGGTACTTCAGTTTCTGTTGTTGTTTTTTTTCTTGAAAAGAAACATATTTAATGAAACAAAAAAGAAATGTAATATGACCATTTTATTAAATAAATTAATATATTTGTAATATCCCAATGAGTAGAAAAAATTAGATTTTCTGACGTTTTGTAACTCAGTGTAAGCCACTTCATCAGAGAATAATTAACCAAATTAACATTAATCCAAGTTTAAATAGTACAACGGAACAATACGGATATTAGGTGCAAACAATCAAAAACAAGTCTGAATAGATCAATGTCATTCGTGTTGTTTCGTTGTACTACTTAAACTTGGATTAATGTTAACTTGGTTAACTATTTTCTGAAGAAGTGACTTACACTACGTCAAGAAACGTCAGATAATATCATTTTTCTACTCATTGGGATATTACAAATATATTAATTTATTTAGGACAATCTACCCAATGCTCAATTTATTCAAAATTATCAAATCAAAGCTTGCTAATGATACCTATTTTAATAGATGATAGTTTCACTGAAAACTTAACAGACTGTAAAATATTTGGGGACAGTCAATGAAAAGATATTAACTAAGATTTACTATTTATCAATACATATATACACTATTCAATATTAAAATTTAGTAGTTTAAAATTTGTTAATCTTCTGGGATAAGTTCATCACGGTACTAACAACAACTTGCTAGTTTAGTATCGTTAAGATATTAGACAAGTAAATAAAAGCCAATTTGTGAAATTACGTGTTTAGTTATATAACAAAAGTAACACTATATATAATAATTTAGTAACCGAAGTAAGCTGTTCAATAGTTGGTAGAAAAATCACCAAATTATCTGATTAATGTATATTTGCCTTGAGTTGAGATAACCTTAAAAGGTGTTTACCAGTGTTATATAATTTACTTGAATTAAGTGATGACATTGAACTTCAGAGGTTACATATTGAAGTTGTAGAAAACTTTAATAAACACTCATATTTTGTCCATTTTTTTCATCAGAATATTTTCCACTTAAACTTACATTATGGTACATGATAACAGTTTATGAGCTATGAAAGCACAAATATATATTTGTGCTTTCATATTTGTTTAGCAAACGTTCGGTGTTCTTTATTTTGTAGATTGGTTCATTTCAAGATAGTTTAGTTACATTAAATGCTCAAAAATAAATTGACTAATACCTATGATGATTTATTTGGATAGTTCATCTGATGTTATATTTAGTAAAAGATTGATGCTTTTACTCAGCATTTATACATATAAAAGTCTGGTAGAAGAAAATACATTTTAAGTAAACAAGAAAGTTATGCCAAATAATTTAGAATGATGAGAATACTTAAAAAAGATAATGAAATTGAACTAAACTGTGATTTTATGAATATTTATAAGAATGATACATAAATTCACTATTACAGTAATTAAATTCGGAATCTATTATTATATATTTACACAAAGTACGTTCAAAAGGCTATATATTTCTGAAAGATAAAAATATATTGAAATGGAGAAGTTAGTTTTTAGCAGAAAAATTTTCTGTGATATAGAATTGTACCGTATATTTATTTATTGATCTCAATTCTAATCAATTTGGTTTCTTGATCAAAAACTATTCGGATTTAACTATCTTTATATGTCTTAATGATATTAAGGTGGAATTAAATAGTATTGTAATCCAGTAGAGTTTTATTCTGACAGGAACAAATTTTCATCTAACATTCTGATTTCTTTACAAGTATGTGTAGTTTGCGCGATATTATAGGAAATACGGTGATATTTTTTGCCAAAGCTTGTCAGGCTTTAAAGTCCTTCAAACAGCTGAGATAGTAGCCATCAGGTTGAAGTAACCGGAGCTATGCGTATAGAAGAACTATCTCCAATCCCTGCTCCTCCCTCGGTCAACCACAAGGTCAATTAATCAATAGTAATCTTAGCTATTGGATGACCTAATTTGACTATGTACTTACGACCTTTTGTGGTCAAATATCATTGTCTCTCTTATCACAAATCTTTGTATTTTATTAATATTATTATCATTATTTTTATTATCGGTTAAATATCATTGTTAATCTCCTCTATACATGATTCATTCACTCCGCATTGATCCCTCCTTATTACGTCTTACTAATTTTTCACACAATTTAATCTTCCACTTGATCGAATTGTAATTGCAGTATCATATCTCTCACCCTATCTGACCCATGTTTATTCTGATCACAGATCTTACATTTTCACATATATACTGATTCAAGTTAACATTTTATACGGGTCATGTCAACATTAACAATTTTATTCTATTTGATTTGACATTCCTAAATTTTCATGCTTTAGACGTTGTACTTCGCCTTTAACCTGGCCATGTTTTCGGATTATTAATTTGGATATATAATTGTAGAACCTGAAGAGAATTTATCGAAGAGAATATTCTTCGTTCAAATATTAGTCTTTCAAAATAGAATCTATAAATCATTTTTGGAAAAAACGTCGGTTTCATTATTAAGACATAATATCCCATACTGTTAACAGTAAATATTATAGATATTAGGAGTTTTTTAGTAAATGATTTCAATATCTATTCATCCAACAGGAAGGAAATTTATCAGTATTGATTTTAACCAGGGTAAATAATCATTCAACTTCTGGTTCTGCGAAGTAGTATTTTAAATTGAAAGAGCAAAATATTGTTGCAATAGGGTAGAAGTTAACTAAACAAACTATAAATAGAAATTTAGTAATATACACTTCACCCAATTAGAAACGAGAAAGATATAGTATCTCTCAATAAATCTACGAATATAACCAATCAAATGAGTCTTTAGTAATCCCATGAAAAAATCAAGATAAGCAAATAGTTTTCCATGAAAATATTTATTTTATTTCATAAAATTATTAATAAAAAAGTTTGGAGAATATTCTTTGTAACATTGGCGATCACTATAGATGTTAACAACATTAGTTCAAATTAACTCTTTACAGAATTAGAAGAGATGAGAATGAGAAACATATAGATATATATTTTCAGTTTTGTTTTATTCGAAGAAATAATATTATGTGTGCTGCACAACAGGGAATAATTAATATCTTACGTCATGGAAATTCGGTTGCTGACAAAATTGATGTAACTTCATTCAGCTTTTCATTTATTAGTATATGCCTCAATCCAATTTTATTATTGTATATATTTGATATTAACCTTGGAACACAATTTTTAAGCATAATGATTATGTTACAAATGACATGTGAATGGCTTGCATCAGTCGCTGGTGTATTGTATATATTCTGTCCAATTATTAAAACAGATCAATTATGGTTTAATCTAATATTTTGTCATATGTGGAGTAGTACATTTATGTATAATTTATTCATTATGTTCTGCAAATATAATGTTATGTCAATGTTGGTAGAACGATGTTTTCAATTATTTTATCCAAATATAAATATATTTGATTATCCACGAACTATTTCTGCATCATATTGTTTTGCTATGATATATATTACAGCAATAAATTTAAGATTTACAGCTATGGTACAAATGGATTCAGATGGTGAATGTATAGCTGTTGGACAAAGTCATATTGATGAATTTCATCGTCAACAATTAAAAGTTTTTGGTTATTTATGTTTAGCTTTATTATTAATATTACCAGCTATTATTGTAACAACATGTTATATGTTAATGTTAATTTATTATATTAAAAGAAAACGTTCAAATAAAAATTTTAATGGTTTTAATTCACATAATTTACAAGATATATTAACATTACTTATCATTATATGGTCAGCTGAATCAACAATAGCTAGTATACTTGATATGATATTATTTTATGATTTTCAAAATTATGGTTATACTAAATTAGCGCAAATTATTCAAAGTTCAACTGAATTAGTACGTATTATATTTTTTATTAGTCGTACACTTAGTTTATTTATTTGTATACAATCTATTCGTTCTAAATTTATTGAACATATTCAATTCATTAGTAAATTTTGTTTGAAATTATTTAAACGATAATTTAAAATAAAAAAGAAATCATGCCAAAAAAAATTTTTAAAAAAACAAAAAAAACATTTAAAAAATTGATTTATCTTTGTATTTTTTATTTCGATTGTTTACTTATTTTGAGCTTTATTGTTATTTTAATCTTTCGACTATCTAATCAGTTTTTTTTTCTTTTTTGTTTGTTTGTTTATCATTTCTTCAGTATTTAAATTTTACCTGACTTTTTATTTATAATTGATTGTTTTGTTCTTTTATCTCTTTAAAAAAATTTATTTTCTAAAGAGATATATTTGTTTTCAAGATGATTAATAGAACTTATTTAAGTAGTTTCATTTTATTTTCTTTCACTAGGTTAGATGATGTAATTTTAAGCTTTTGATCACCTTTCTGAATGTCACTATAGCTTATTTCATATAGATGTCTAAATAAAGTAGGTGTTAAATGTATTGTCCAGAAATGATAATGAAAGCTTTGAAATGAAGACATCTGATTCAGAGAAGAAAATGATACCAAAATTATTCACTTAAACTTTATTATTGTTTTCCAGATTCTATTCTTTTGAATAATTTTTTTTTCATAGATCATTTACAAACTAATTAATGCTGCAATCTTATTTATTGACAACTCATTTCCTTTTGTCAGTTCAAAGTAAATTGTGCTATTAGTGCTTGTTAACATTAACTACACCTATTTATGATATTCTAGTTTAATTTTCAGAACTACATTTTGAAGCTTATTTTGACTAAAACATCAACAGCAAGGTGCAACTAAAGCAGATAACATGTTTTCTTTAAATCTATTGTTT